TTGCTACATAACACTTGAATTAGGGTAATGCTAGCTTCTATAACAAATAAGCCCCAATACCTCATCAGCCTAACACAATAGACATTTACTTCTGGCTCAGATAAAATGCAGAGTAGGTAATCCTTCCACACCCAGGGACCCAGGCTCCTCCTATCTTGTAGCTCCACCATCTTTTAGGGTCTTGGAGTCCTCTGCATCAAGTCAGCATACAGAAGGGGAAACAGAGAAACTCTACCCATTCTTAAAAGCCCCAGCCTATCAGTGACACATCATTTCTGTTCTCCTCCCATGGGGGAAAACCAGCCACATGGCCACACCTCGGTACAAGGGCAGCGAGAAGTTTAACGCCGACAGCTGCCCTCCGGCAATAGCAACGTAGTATAGGAGACCAGAATTTGGTGGGCAGTTGGCTCTCCTTGCCATAACCATAGTAAATTCTCAACTCTCGGGCTCTGTTCTTCCTCCATAAAACAGAAAGCATCACTCAATTATGGCCACGGCTGCACAGTTGTATACATTTATTAGAATCATTGAATTGTACACTTACTTTTGGGAGAATTCTGTGGTATGTAAGTTACACCTCAAGCTGTTTTGAAGAAATAGGATGTTGCCCTCCCTTGTCAGGATACTTGTGAAGACTCAGTGAAGTTCTGCTAAGCTGGCACTGTGTGTACGTGATGGGCAGGGGGCGTCCAAGGGAGGCCTGAGTGACATGTGTGGGATGTAGTTTTCTTAGGGCACCCAGCTCGAGCCACCTGCCAACAGGAAATGGTAGGTGGTGGTTGGTATTGCTTCTGGCTTGGGAAACCCTACCCCCAACTCCTGTGGCCTTTCTGACATGCGGAGGAAGCCCCCGCCCGCAGGGCCAGAGCTTCGTCGGTCAGAGCCATGACTGCTGCCATGAAGAGTGAGTGACACCCTCCCGCCTCCAGCAACACAGATGGGAAACCGAGGGCCTCCCTGGGGGCTAGTGAGGACATACACCAGTGAGGTGCAAGTCATGTGGGGCCCCCTGGGGACGGCACGGTCAGCTTGAGAGTGGATAGATGCAGTGCCAACTACCCTGGGTCAGCCAGGAGCCTCACTGCCTGGTGCTGGAGAGTTCACGGCTACTCCTTAGACCAGAGGCAGTGACAGCGATGAAGGTAAAATGCTGTCAGATCAAGTTCCCCACTGATGCCAAACAAATGCCTTCAGCCCCTCAGTGAGCTAGATGTGTTTACTTCATCCTGGTCTCGAGTCCCCACCTGAAGAAAGGAGCTGGTCCCTTCTGCATGGACTGTTGTGAGGACTGAGCTAATAGATGTGAAGCACCCGGACCAGTACCTGGCACCCCATCACCTCTCAACAGGAGCTGGCTGAGCGCATGCACATCCTTGGCTGAGGCTCTACGCTCTTGCAGGCCTCCATTTTCCCACGTGGCTACTGAGGGACCTGGAGAGGTCCCAACATTCTGGCTTGGGAGCCATCCCAGCGCTAGCTGTATGACCTTGGTCAAGTTATTTAGTCTGTGCCTCATTCTCCTCACCCCTAAAGTGGGATAATAACAATACCTACCTTACAGAGTTGTGAGGATGAGGCGAGTTCATCCTTAGAACAGGACCTGACACATAAGTATAATTTAAGTGGTTGTTGTTGTTATTGTCATTATTATTTTCTTCATGATACGGAGGTGGAAGCTAAGGCCCAGAGAAGTGATGCGACTTGCTCAAGGTCACCCAGCTAAAAAGTGGCGCATGCTAGGATCAAGGCCAAGCCTGCTGAGCCCCAAGGCCTGTGCAGTTTCCGTCGCTCCCCACTGCACCTCTTAAGTCACATGCGTAGTAACTGGGTCAGAGGCAGCGTGTACCTGGGGGAATGACGCAGTAGCAGGGACGGCGTGTGGGTTAATTCCTCGTCTCCTGCTGACACCTTGCAGAGAAGAGGCCTGAGGGAGAGGGAGCTGAGGAAGGAGGTAGGGGGCGATAGGGACAAGCCCCAAAATGGGATCCAAGGAACCAAGGCAATGGACAGGAAGAGTTGAATCTGATGTGGCCCCAGCCCCTGGGGCACTTGTGGCCTCTTGATGGGGACAGGCAGGGAACAGCTGAGGCCACCCCAAGGGACTCAACAGGGACCCTGAGAGAGATAGACCCTGTCTGAATTCCGGGGCCCGAGGAGACAGGAATTGGCACCTGGGGCAGCCGAGAAGGCTTCCTGAAGGAGTGGGACGTGGGGATAATGAGGCCCAAGAGCTGAGGTGTGGGGCGGGGCAGCAGGACTAGCGGAGGAGACTAGAGGGGCATTACAGCTGTAAAGAGGCGGTGCAGGGCAGTGGTCAGAGCATGAGCTGGACCTGCAGTGAGGGGGCAAGTGTTGGGGCCAAAACCCACCCTCTGTGGCTATACCCCTGACACCGCCTGGTGCCTACCCAGGGCAGCTCAGAGGCCAAAGCCGCAGGGAGGAGCCAGGCACTAGCAGTTCCTGGGGGAGGAAGGAAAGGGCTTCCTTCTAGCAACTTGGCAGTTGCCAGTCAAGCTCCCAAGGGATGTGGAAACGGCCCAAAGTGACCTGGCAGAGACGAAGCCCAAAGTGGGAGCATTGCACACATGTGTACCCATGCCTGCACACACGTGGGCTGCCCACTTCAGCAGCCCTGGGCAGTCCACACACTTCAGGAGAAGTAGGTCAGCAGAGCTGCCCAGGGTATCTCCCTGGTGGTCAAGAGCAAAGAGGGCATGTGCTCATCAGCACCCCTGGAGAGAGCCCCACACGCCACAGAGGACTCAAGGACGCGGGCATAGATGCAGCAGTGCCCTGCTGCATCAAAGCCATCATCTCAGTTCTCACTGGGGATCCTCTCCACCCAGGCAGTGGGTGGGATATTTGACAGGGGTTGGGAGAGGGCTGACCTCTTCCAGCCCTGAAACCAAGGAAGACTATGGTGGGGAGATACCACCCCCTTTAGCCCAGTTGTTGGTGGCAGCCAGAAGGGCCCGGTGCTACCCAGCCTGGAACTGGAACTGCAGAGACTTGGTGACGGTGCCATGGCAGAGTTAGGTTGAGCACAATGAGGGTGGGAGAGGGAGGGGACACAGAACTGGGTCTCCATGGGCCTGCCACCCTCCCTCCAGGGGTCTGTGAAATGGGCTAGAGACACTCTGAGGGCATCCACGTGGCATTTCAGATGGACAAACAAGGAGAGGAAAAGCAGTAGGCAGGGGAAGCTTCTATCAGAACAGGCTTATTCATGAATGGAGGGGAGGGGGCTGAGTCAGGGAGAAGGCTCCTGAGGAAGCAGAAGGGGCGGCAGCCAAAGCTGAGGAGGGGAGAGCTCTGTGCTCCCCAGCCAGCTGGGAAAACGTGCAGATGGAGCTCCTCCGTTTGGGGCTAGGTGGGAGGCCAGGAAGTTCCCTCCTGATGTTCCTCCTCTCCCTGTGAAGTGGGAGGCTGGGTCGTGCAGAGAGGGAAGGGGAAAGCAGAGGAGGAGAGGAGGGTTTGGGTCTGGAAGGGAAGCAGCTGGGCCAGAGTGAGGATGCTGGGCTCAGGGGGGACTCACCCCTTCTCCCAGCCTCTGGTCGTGCTCAGCCAGAGAGAATGTAGATCATACTAATGAGAACACCCGCACCCCTGACACAGGGAAGGCACGCGCTTTGGGTCAGGCACCAAGCACTTCTCGTCTGTTAACTCACTGAATCCTCACAGCGGCCCACAGGGAGAAGTACTCATATCCTTCTTACAGATGGGAAGCTGAGGCACAGAGAGGTGAAGTCAGTTGCCCAAGGCCAACCCACTGGAAGTGACAGAGCTGGGATTCAAATCCAAGTTGTCTGGCTCCAAGTCTCTGCTTTCCCTTGGCCACGGGGAGGTCTTGCAAGGGGTGGCTGCTGAGAGCGTTGGGTGACACACCTGGGACCGGAGGTAGAGGAGAGTGAGGTAAGCAGAGGAGGCACCCAAAAGGCAGGATCCAGGGGTCAGCTTCTAGAGGAGTCAGTGCTGGCCTCTCCTGCTGGGGTGCACACAGGCACGCGTGCACACACCCACCTACTCCTGGAGGCTCAGCCCCCCAGTCTGACCCTCTCCCTTGTCATTAGACAAGAAATGCAGGCCCCAGAAGGGCATTCACTGTCGCCAAGGCCTGGACTCTCCCCACTGCAGCTCTGCCCCCACCCCACCAGCAAACCCAGTACCTCTAGAAAGGGGGTGCATCCAGTTTACAGGGACTCTGGAGTCAGCCAGGCCTTGAATGTGGAGGGCGAGAGAAGGGTAGGTCTTTGTGGGACAGCCGCTCTGCCCTTGCGTCTGGGGGCCCAGGCAGGGGCCTGGGACTACAGCTGGGGCTGTGTACCATAGCAGGGCTGTGTTGTCATCCGTGGTGAGGGAGGGATTATAAGGCTGTGGCTGGTGTGTGGCCCTATCTGCGCCATCTCACCCGAGTTTTCTGAATCTCTGTAACTGCGGTTTTTGATACTGTGACTTCTACCCTCAGACCTTGCCTTCCCCACCTCAGCCTTATTTACTCTACAGCCCATATCACCTTTTCTCATAATCCATAATTCACGTCTTCACTATGTTTATATCTATCTCCACCTAGGATGTCAGTCCCACGAGACAAGATCCTTACCCATTTGTTCAGGGTTGTGTCCCCAGGGCTCTGAACAACACCTGGCCAACAGCAGGTGCCGATCTATACTGTGAATAGGACCACTCGTGTGAACTCGGTCCATGGCATGTCTTTGTGTCAGTATCATCCTTGGCACTTGACAACGTGAGGCAATTAGGCTGGCAGTACCCAAGTCGGGGCCGGTGACAGCGACTGTCTCTGGGAGATGCTGGCACAGCCTGGTCCTGAAACACTGGGGCAGGGTAAGGTAGCAAAGATGCTGTCACCCCTTGTAGCCATCTTGGGCGTGGCACCTGCCCTCAGCCCCAGGAATCCTGGGCAGTGGGGAGGGGGAATGTAGGTGAAGGAGGGGACCCTGGCCTGATGGCACACTCCATGCCACACCCCCTTACAACAGGGAGAAGATGAGCGTGGGCTGCCCGGAGCCTGACCCGCCCCGCTCCCTGCCCTGCTGTGGGCCAGGGACCGCCCCTGGACTGGGTGCGGGCGTGCCCCTCCTCACCGAAGACATGCAGGCACTGACCCTGCGCACGCTGGCCGCTAGTGATGTCACCAAGCACTATGAACTGGTCCGGGAGCTGGGTAAAGGCACCTATGGAAAGGTTGACCTTGTGGCCTACAAGGGCACAGGTGAGTATCCGCAGAGTGGCTGGCTTTAAGGCTTGGGTAGAGAGTTAGCTGGGGCTCTCAGCTGCTCTCTGCGGGGGGCAGGAGCCAGCAGGGAGGCAGAGTCAGAGGTCCAGGTGAAGAGGATGCAGTCTGAGCGGCCCAGGGAGAAGGAAACCAGACAGATGGAACAAAGGAGGAATCTGGGGGCATAGTGCCCAGATTCGAATGCTTTGGGGACATTCAAGGTACACCTTTGGAACACCCAAGGGGATGCACCAAGGACGTCTGGAGCTCAGGGGGAGGTCAAGGTCAGGGCTGGTTGTGGTGTTTGGAGAATCACCAGCATGTCAGTGATAGCTGACCCCAGGGACATGGGCAGAGCTGTGGGTCCTCTGGAACGGGGCACCATGCTTAATGGAGGGTGGGAGATGACCCCATGAAAGCAGTATGGTCATCTCCATGTCGCAGGTGAGGACACTGAGACCCAGAGAGATTCGGTTACTCAGCCAAGGTCATCCAGAGGGTTTGAGCTAGGATGAGACCCCAGTTGTCGGCTCCAGAGCCTTCTCACTTAACCATGGAGCTTGATGCCTTCCCCATGCTGTAGGCTCACAGCAGTGCGCACTCGGTCAATCAGAGATGGTGTGCACGAACTCCCACACCTGCACACACCTGGGGCAGGGCGCTCTGACTAAAGGCAACAGGAAGAGCACCGGACATGGGGTCACCTGAGGGTTGCCACTTGCTTGCTGTATGACCTTAGGCAACTGATGAAACCTCTCTGTGCCTAAGTTTCCTCCTCTGTAAAATAGGGTAGCCTTAGTGCCCAGCTCATAGGGTCATTGTGAGGAGTGGGTTCTGAATGTGAATTCCTGAAGGCAAGGCATGTGACGCGTAAGTGCTCTGTGGACACACAGGTGTGTGTCACACAGCTACATACCAGGGTAGGTACAGGTGTGTGCCCAAGCGCAGAGTCAGGGATATATGCCTTGCAGGCCCTCATATCTCAATGTCTAATTCCTTCCTAGTCATTCTTCCACTTAGCAAACATTTGTTGAGCACCTACTAGGCACCAGACTCAGGCACTGGAGATACAGCTATGAATAAAACAAAGGTCCCTGCGCTCAGGAAGCTGTGTTCCAGTTGAGGGAGACAGATGAGATAAATAAGTCTAGTATGCCACGAAGAAAATGAGAAAGGGTAGGGAAGCAGCAGACCCTTCCCCTTGAGGGTTGCAGACCAGGTGCAGAAGACCCAGGCTGAGCCCTGACTTATTGCACACCCTTCACTAAATGCTTCCCCCTCACTGGGTCATGCCCACTGGGACCCCCATCATGCCTTGGGCCTTGGGCCTGAAGGCATGGGTATGTGTCAGGTGCAGGAGGGCAGGGAGAGGGGCCTTCACCACTGTTGCCCTGCCAGGCACGAAAATGGCGCTGAAATTTGTGAACAAGAGCAAAACCAAGCTGAAGAACTTCCTGCGGGAGGTGAGCATCACCAACAGCCTCTCCTCCAGCCCCTTCATTATCAAGGTCTTCGACGTTGTGTTCGAGACTGAGGACTGCTACGTCTTCGCCCAGGAGTATGCACCCGCTGGGGACCTGTTCGACATCATTCCTCCTCAGGTACTTGGGATGGCGGCTGATGAGGGGAGATGGTCTTCAGGGCCCCAGAGTGTGCGAGCTGGGGAGAAGTCAGGGCACTGGTTTAACCCATGAGTATTCATCGAGTCACTGGAGGCCTGGGGGTTCACAGTGAACAAGACAGTTCCTTCTCTGGTCCTCGCTGGGGACATAGACAGTTGGCAATAAGCCAGATAACAGACTAAGACAAACACTGGAAGGAAACGGCCATAGTGATGGATGAAGTCCAACAGTACCTTCCCTGCAGCTGCAAAGGACCGGGTGGGGGCACCAAACAGGAGGCAGAAGGGCCACCATAGGCCTCTCAGAGAAGGTGCCCTGGAGCAGGGAGAGTGCCAGGAGGATTGTAGGCACCCAGCTTTGCAGTTGGCCAGTGCCAGGTTTGACTGCTCTGCCACCTACTGGATAAGCGACAAGGACTCTCCGAGCCTCAGTGTCCCTACAAGAGATATGGGCATAATAGGGAGCCCCTGTGAGGAGTTGGTGAGACGGTGCACGACAGGGCCCTTAACACATGGCCCATGTTGTGCACTCAGCACCGTCACTGCAGTTAACCAGGCAAAAGGAGCCAGACAGCTGAAGAAGCCCCGGGGCGGGGGCGGGGGGGGGGGCCGGGCAGCCGGTGCTGTTAGGGGCATGGGGTAGGGACACCGGAGAGGCCAGGCCAGGCCGGGACTGGAGGTGGGACAAGAGTGGCGGCACTGGCAGCTGGAGGGGGGCGGGGGCGGGGCAAAGGGAGGGAGGACGGAGAGAGGAGGACTGGGCCGGGGGAGCGGTGGGCGGGTGGCCCTGAGCACGCCCCCCTCCCCTGGCCCCAGGTGGGGCTCCCTGAGGACACCGTGAAGCGCTGCGTGCAGCAGCTGGGCCTGGCGCTGGATTTCATGCACGGGCGGCAGTTGGTGCACCGCGACATCAAGCCCGAGAACGTGCTGCTGTTCGACCGCGAGTGCCGCCGCGTGAAGCTGGCCGACTTCGGCATGACGCGCCGCGTGGGCTGCCGCGTGAAGCGGGTCAGCGGCACCATCCCGTACACGGCGCCTGAGGTGTGCCAGGCGGGCCGCGCCGACGGCCTGGCCGTGGACACCGGCGTGGACGTGTGGGCCTTCGGCGTGCTCATTTTCTGCGTCCTCACCGGCAACTTCCCGTGGGAGGCGGCCTCAGGAGCCGACGCTTTCTTTGAGGAGTTCGTGCGCTGGCAGCGTGGCCGCCTGCCGGGGCTGCCGTCCCAGTGGCGCCGCTTCACAGAGCCCGCGCTGCGCATGTTCCAGCGGCTGCTGGCGCTTGAGCCAGAGCGGCGCGGCCCGGCCAAGGAGGTCTTCCGCTTCCTCAAGCACGAGCTCACCTCTGAGCTGCGGCGCAGGCCCTCGCACCGCGCGCGCAAGTCCGCGGGGGACCGCCCGCCGCCCGCTGGGCCGCTGCGCCTGGAGGCGCCCGCGCCACTCAAGCGCACGGTGCTGACGGAGAGTGGTAGCGGCTCCCGACCCTCTCCCCCGGCCGTCGGGCCCGGGCCCGTGCCCGTGCCCGTGCCCGAGGCTGGCCTGGCCCCCGCAGGGCCCCCAGGCAGGACCGATGGCCGCCCGGACAAGAGCAAAGGGCAGGTGGTGCTGGCCACGGCCATCGAGATCTGTGTCTGAGCTGTCCTGCCGCCTTCGGGCAGGGGTTGGCGGCCGGTTGCTGTGCACGCAGCCGGGCTGGGCGCTGGAGCCACCCCGGGCCCGCGCCAAGCTGGTGGTGGCGGCGGCAACACTGACCAGCCCCGCGGTAGTGGTGGTAGACAAGGCAGGAAGGCGGCTGGGCGCCCATCCGTTCAAGGGGCTGGGGAGGTAGCCACCAAAAGGCCTCTGGCCTGGCCTGTGGGGCAGGGGCTTGGCCCACAGGAGCCAGGCCCCACAGAGACCGAGGATTCAGAGGTCCCCCCTGACACCAGGAGCAAGGAGCTTGCAGGTGGATTCCCCAACAGCTCCTTGAACCCTGGAACCCTGACTAGTTGCTCCTGGCCCTTTGCACCTCCTGGCAGATGATCCCGCAGTTCCACCCCAGGTCCTGCCCTCCTGCCCTCCACCCACCCACCCACCCACCCTGGGCAGAGAAACGGACTGAGAAGCTGGAGCAGAGAAGAGGCATAGGGACCCTGGGCACTGGCTGGAAAGAAGACCATGAGCTGAGGGCAGTATTGCTAAGCTGCATCCTGCCCCTTCCCTGGGAGCCTGGAGGGGAGAGGCTAAGACCCCTGCAAAATGTAGCAAATGTCTGGATGTTGCAAAAGTGTGTGTGTGTGCAGGCGCAGGCCCTAGGAACCTAGTGACCCCCCTCCCAACCCACTTCTCTGATGAGAACTTGGAGCCCACAAGGAGGGCAGCTTGCCTTGGAACACTCAACCACTGAGAGATGGAGCTCTGGTAGCCCTCACCTCCTCGCCAGGGGACGAAGGGCTCCCAGGGCAGGGGCTGCAGGTGTCCCAGCATCCATCCCTAGGGCATGGGAGTGAGTGTGGAGCCCAGGGTGGGACCCAGCTCCCCTGCTGGCCGTACCTTCCCCAGGCCCAGGGAGCCTCTCAGATCCTCGGTCCTTGCTGCCCAGCCCAGACAGTGCCCTGGTGTTTGGCAGGCTGTGAAGTGATTTGTGCCAGAAATTCCCCCTGGGTTTCTGCTGGGGTCAAACCTGTCAGTCTTGGGCTGACCCTGTCCCCATATCTCACACATTTCTGGTCCTGGAGTGTGATGCTATGGGTATGGAAACGGGGGACCGCTGAGGAAATGTGAGGGCAGTGAGTGTGTGATGGGTGTGTGTGCAGTGTGAGTGCACAGAGTGTGCATGTGCGCGTGTAACCTCGAGTGCTGAGTGACTGCATCCAGATGCCTCAGTAACTCCGCCCTGCCCCAGGAGTCTCACCCGGCAGCTGCCAGAGGGCGCCCAAGGCCTGCTTTTCACCACACCCCTCAGGGAATCCGGCCAGGAGGCACCTGCAGGTTGGTTCAGGCCCCTAGGCAGCAGAACAAAGGAGGGGAGCGCAGCCTCACCCAAGGCTCCCTCACGCGCCCTGCCCTCTCTGTGGAGGAACAGGACCCCGCAATAACCTCAGCATGGGTGAGACCGCTCCCTCTGCCTGGCAGTGCACCATCTGCCCTCCAAGGCCCCACCTGCCAGGGCCCCTCTTGGGGTTCTAGGCCATTTGAGGGGCTCCTTGATGGGCCAAGCTGACCACAGGAGCCCCAACCACCCTCTAGCCTGGAGCCGCCACCTCTCTATTCACCCTTCATTCCTATCATGCAAAAGGGCTATAGGTCCCCCTGCCCTGCCTGGGTCCAGTTTACAAACAGGTTGCCCCAAGGCCTGGCCCTCCCCCCCTCGGTGTGCCGCCCCTCTCAAGACCCACCTCTCCAGCAGGCATCGGGGCCTCCACACGCCAGGTAAGTAGCAAACCCCTCCTTTCACCAAGGGCCAAGGCCCCCCATCACTGCCCCAACCCCCCTGAAGCCCATCCGGGCACCTTTCCCAGCCGCAACTTCTCCTTTTGCCTTAGGCCTTTTGACATCCTGTCTCCTGCAATAACAAAGGAAGCAAGATTCCAAGTAGATGTCTCTGGAGAGCATGTCTCTCTCTCTCTCTCTCTCTCTCTCTCTCTCTCTCTCTCTCTCTCTCTCTGTGTTGAGATCCTTGTCTTAGTAGCTAGGATGTTTAGAGTCGGGAAGGGACTGTAGTTATGTAGCCCAGCCACTTTCAGAGGCACAGATGGGGGAAGGTGACAGCCTGACTCAGAAGCGGCTGGAACCGGGGCTGCTCCCTCGCTGGGAGGCCCTGCTGCCGCTGCTGCTGCTGCTGCTGCCGCTGCCGCTGCTGCCTCTGCTGGTCGGGTTGGGACCCTTTGCCCCTTAGGAGAGGTGTTGGTCACAGATGTTTACCTCAGTTTATGTCACTGTCGAAGAAACAAAAAATAAATAGCAAAAAGTTAATAACATCGTAGACATGAAGATTTAGGGAAAAAAATTAAACAAAAATATCCTCCCCTTGCTATTCCTCTGTGAAGTGTGTGTGTGTACATGCGTACGTGCGTGCGCGTGTGCCGGTCTCCGTCCCACCCTGGGCAGGCTAGGACTTCTGTCCCAGCCCCTGTGCCCCCCATACTGCCCCCTGTCCTTTGGTGCTTCCCAGAGGCCCCTCTGAGCTGGCCTGTGGGGTGTGGGGGAGCCCCTTGGGCAGGAGGCAGGACCACAAGTAGCTTAGAGGGTCTCCCCCCAGGTCCCTGAGCAGAGTCTCAAGGCCACAGATGCTCCTTGAGCCCCGCACAGGCTGATGGGACAGCTGTGGTGGCTGGCGTCCACGTCTTAGCCTGGCTGAGGGCCTGGGTGGGATCCTAGCCCCTGAGCCCCAGGCCTTCATATATTGACACCCCCCCCTCCACGACCACCATGTGTTTGTAAATACTCTGGCATCCTTTGGCCCTGAGGAGGTTTTTAAACGTGTTATTTACTTCTCTAATCATGACAGTTGCTATAAAATAAAACAAAAATTTAGAAAAATTACCACTGGGTGGCTGTCTTGTCTCAGATACAGGGGTAGGGGGAAGTATACAGAATTACTCTGGAAACTGAAAACTTAACAAATGTTCTAAATCATTTAGAATCAGGGCAGCTCCTTCAGGCCTCTGGTGACCTCTCAGACCTAGAGGAGACCCAGGCCAGGGCTTGAGCATGAAGCAAACAGAACAAGGATCGGGTTGTGAGGGAGGGGTGGGAGTTTGTCCCAGGCCTGGAGTCTCTGCCTCCAGACAGTTCCTGACCTGCCTGTGGCAGTAGCTCCTCACCCTGCTTCCTCTCCTAAGCCTCTTCAGGCTCTTCTCAGCAGCCAGAGTGAGTCTTTTCACAGATAAGTCCAGTCACTCTGTTCAAAACCATACAATATGTCCTATTCCACCCAAATGAAAGCTGAAGTCCTTACAGTGGCCTCAGAGGCCCAGACTCACCCCTGACCCCTCTCCACTGCACTGCCTCCCAGCAACGTTGGCCTCTAGGACAGCCACGCATGCCCTCGCTCAAGGTCTGTACCCTTGTCTTGGATCCCCCCAGACCTCCCCAAAGCCTCTCCCTGTGTGGCAGGATAGAAAGAAGCTAGGGAAATTCCTTGACAATTGGAATAAGGGAAACTCCAACAAAGTAATTAAACAAGGCCAAACCATTTGAGCAATTCACAGCCAGCTAGTGAACCACAAGGTGCTATCTTCCCTAACCAAGGATACTTAGGAGCAAATGGTTTACGCATTCCAGACCATCCAAGACAGATTGGCCTCTGTCCCTCTTCAATGATGTTCTTTGAGAAAAAGAAAAGAAAAAACACCTAACCAGAAAATAAGCCAGACTCCTTTATACACATATTTTGATTAATCAGCATAACGAAGGACACACCTGGAAAGCTACTGAGTGTTCTGTTAAGACCCTCCCCTGAGACCTCCCCTAGGATTCCTGTCCGCCAAAGAAAGATAAAAAGCCTCAAAGACAAAGGACCCATAGTGTACTCTGGCTAGAGCACGCCCAAGCCCGTATCCCTGCTCTTTCTTCCCCCTGAACTCTAAGGGTCCCTGTGAGACTTGCAACCAAGGGAGCAATGGACAGCAGCAGCTCGTCCCAGGCTATCCCTCTGAACCTGTCTCTAAGACCCCAATTTTTCTGACTTTCCAGGGAGCCAAAGCAGCTACCCCAGGCTCTCTCCGGTTGCTTCTTACCTTAAGCCCTTCCTTTCATTGTCCCCAGCTTTTATAAATACACTCTTAAAATCACCTGGACTCATGTTATGAAACATTTACTACACCGAGTCAAGAATCTACACACTACTGGCCAGCCCAAGGCAGATTCACTCGGGGCCAGTCCTGTCTGATAACAACTGCTCAAATGTCAACTTCCTGAGTACTCTATAGGGTACAGAAGGCCTTTTCCCTGCTTCATTATACCCTGAGCACTCATCACCACTCGCGATACCATGTGTTTGTTCTCCATCCCATACCCACCAGAATGGAAGTGCCATAAGAATAGTCAGTGTTTGGCCCTCGCTGGTGTGGCTCAGTGGATTGAGTGCCGGCCTATGAATCAAAAGGTCGCCAGTTTGATTTCCAGTCAGGGCACTTGCCTCGGTTGTGGGCCAGGTACCCTGTTGGGGGCATTCAAGAGGCAACTGATCTCTCACACATCGATGTTTCTCCCCATCTCTTTCTCTTTTCCTAACCCTCTCCTAGAAATAAATAAAATCTTAAAAAAAAAAAAAAAAGAAAGAAAGCCCTGGCTGGTGGGGCTCAGTGGATTGAGTGCTGGCCTGCAAACCAAAGTATTGCCTGTGTGTTGCCTGTTTAATTCCCAGTCGGGGCACATGCCTGGGTTGCAGGCCAGGTCTCCCGTTGAGGACGCACAGGAGGCAACCACACGTTGATGTTTCGCTCCCTCTCTTTCCCTCTTTCCCTCTCTCTAAAAATAAATAAATAAATACTCATTTTTTTTTTTTAAAAAAAAAGTGATACACATATCTTCAGAATAAATAAATAAAAATTAAAAAACCAAAAAGAATAGTTAGTCTTTGGCAAATTGCTACTCCCCTTCCCCCAAACCATGCCTAGCACGGGCCTGGCACATGACAAGCCCTCTATAACAATTTGCCAGATAAATGAGTCAATGCCTAGTAATACTACTTTAGAGGCCAAGAATAGATCGATAAACAAGACAAATGATCTATCCCTTAAAACTTATTTTCTAAAGAGGAAAACAGGCACTAGATAGGTTACATAATTATCTATGAAATAGGAGTTGGGGGTTAAAAAAAAAAGAGGGGAGAAGACAAGAAAAAAAAATTTCACCCAGACCAAACTAGAAGATGAAGTACCCAGGAATTTGATCCAAACCCTGTTATTTCAAAACATCTGCCAATTATCTGCAATGATAAGGGTGGATACTTGGAGGCAATCATCCCTTTACTTAACAGAGTACTCAGATTGTTAAGGGTAGAGGAAAATTCTACAAATGCATATAGTATCTACCACTGCTTCCCCTGCTTGGTGTACAGATACCACCTCTTTATAAAGTCCTCAGGCTTCCAGCCAAGATGGCGACACAGGCAGACACGGCTCACCTCCTCGCACAACCACATCAAAATTACAACTAACATATAGAACAACCATCACTCAGGAATATCAGAAATTGAGTTGAATGGAAGCCTACTAACTACAGAACTAAAGAAACCACATCCATCCAGATTGGTAGGTGGGGCCCAGGCGTGGGCGCTAAACAGGCTGGTCCCACACCCATGTGGATAAAAATTCGGGAGGAATATCTTGGGAACAAAGGGTCCCAGATCCACCCCAGACCCCCCAGCCCAGGATTCCAGTACCAGCAAGATAACCCACAACTTCTGGCTGCAAAAACCAGCAGGGATTGATTGAGTCAGTAAAGGCTGCTGGAGCCCTAAGCAGTCCCTCTTGGGGAACCCACACACGGACTCACCTATTCAGACTCACTCCCTCTGGGCTCCAGCACTGGGGTTTGAAGGGCACCAGTGGAATACAGGGAGAGACTGAGTGTCTGGCATTGGGGTGAACACAGACCGTTGTACCTTTGCTGAGCCCTCCCCCAACAGAGCCGGTAGGCTGGTGCCATACCTGAGACTCCATCAACCTGGCTAACATTGTGTGACCCGCCTTGGAGATCCACAGAGAACCTACCCCATCCAACTACGGGCCCACGCAAGCTGTTTTTCCTAAGAATGGCTAGTCTGGGTTCCTACATACTATCAAACAATCAACAGCTGGCCTCAGTGAGCCTTAGCAGCAGCCAGATTAGAGTCACAGCTTGGCTTCACCTGCAAATCTGCAAGCCCAGCACAAGTAGCAGCCCTCTCAGATTGCTTTATAGCTCAGGCAGGGTGCCCCGGGCAAAATGTAGGTGGGGGCTGACCTTGGCCTGCACCACCCTAGAAACCCCAGGGCCAGCACACCCAGAGGACAGCTACAGACAACTCGGAACACCACCATCCTGCCTCTGCATGGCTGATCCTCCACAGAGGGCAGAGGTTTGTGGTCAGTGACCACAGCCAGCCGTTTAAGCTGACTGGCCTGGATAAATCCCTCCCATTGATCTGCCAACAGCAACCAAGGCTCAACTACAAGGGGAGGGTGTACTCAGCCCACACAAAGGGTGCACCTTGAGTACCCAGCTTGGATGATAGGGGAGGCTGTGCCACTGGACCATACAGGACATCTACTACATCAGGCCACACTACCAAGACACAGAGTCAAAGCAGCTCTACCTAATACATAGAAAAAAACACAGGGAAGCTGTCAAAACGAGGAGACAAAGAAACATGGCCCAAATGAAAGAACAGATCAAAACTCCAGAAAAAGAGCTGAACAAAATGGAGATAAGCAATCTATCAGATGCAGAGTTCAAAACACTATTTATAAGGATGCTCAGGGAGCTTAGTGAGGACCTCAGCAGCATAAAAAAGATCCAGTCAGAAACAAAGGATACACTAATTGAAATAAAGAACAATTTACAGGGAAACAACAGTGGAATGGATGAAGCTCGAGAATCAAATTAGTGATTTGGCACATAAGGAAGCAAAAAACAACCATGCAGAACAAGAAGGAAAAAGAATCCAAAAAAAAAAAATGAGAATAATATAAACAGCCTCTGGGACAACTTTAAGAAGTCCAACATTCGCCTCATAGAGGTGCCAGAAAGAGAAGAGAAAGAGCAAGAAATTGGAAATCTATCTGAAAAAATAGTGAAAGAATACTTCCCTAATTTGGTGAAGAAAATAGACATGTAAGTGCAGGAAATGCGGAGTCCCAGTTATGATGGATGCAAAAGGCCCACTCCAAGACACATCATTATTACAAGGCCAAAGGTTAAAGATAAAGAGAGAATCTTAAAACAAGGGAAAACAAGTTAGTTACTGAAGATTGCTGGGGGGCAGGGGGTGGGGGGGAGAATGGGTGAAGAGGTAAGGGGATAAAGAAGTACAAATACATAGTTACAGAAAAGCCATGAGGATGTAAAGTACAGTATAGGAAATGGAGTAGCCAAAGAACTTAAAAGCATGACCCATGAACATGAACCATAGTGGGGGGACTGCCTGAGGGAGCAGGGGGCGCTGGGTGGAGGGGGGCAAAGGAAGAAAAATCAGGACAGCTGTAATAGCAGATCAATGAAGTATAATATAAAAAAGATTTCCCGATAAAATTTCAAAAACAGAAAAAATAAATTAAAAATAAAATAAAATTTAAAAGGAAAAAAAAAAGTCCCCATGTGTCAGAGAACGCCTGCACTTACCACTAGGGGGCCTCAGTTTGCTGCTGCCGCTGCTTTGCTTGCCGCTCAGCATCACGGCTGACCTCGGGCATTCTCTAGGACAGCGATTTTCAACCTTTCCCACCTCATGAAACACATAAACCAATGACTAAAATTTGACAACACACCTGAAGTATATTTTTTGCTGATCTGAAAAATAAA